CATAGCCATCTACTCTTATAAATTAGGTTTCAGAAACTTATGTACAGAAGCGAAATATTTGAAATGGTTCCCTAGCCATACGTATTAGCATACTAAAGAAGATATATATCGTAAATGTGTATAAAAGAGAGAAACTTACAGAGATAAGCCCTCTCCTGATCAGGAGTCAGATTTGTCGGTAGTACTGTCGGCATTCCTGGTATAAATGTTTTGTCATGTTCGCTACCACTCCATCTAGTCTTTTTCCTCTTCTTACGTTCTCCATCTTTAGATTCTTTATCCTGTTTACCATCGCCTGCAAAAAATCCCATTATTAAATCATGAATTTATAAATTTTTATAACATATACATAAACAAAACATATACATAAATATATCAAGATATAGAAATATTTCTTGTTTTTTACAAGAATTGTAATTATGATAAATTAATTCTGATCAGTATTCATTCTGAAATTTCCTTAACTGATATTGATAGATTCAGTTTTAAATTAATATATTTTTAATTAATTTTAAATTAATATATTTTTGAGTAAAATTAATATAATTATATAATTATATAATTAAATAATTTTTTTCATTTTAAAGGTAAAAATCCAAAAAATAAGATTATGTAACTTAAAATTATGTAAAGTTATGAAAAATATTTGTTATAAGCAATTTTTTATAATATAGTTTTTTATAATATAGTATAATATATAGTTTCACAATATAGTTATATAATTTTTATAATATAGTTTTATAATATAATTAAAAGAATGTCTAGATTTATTAGACCCACATATATCAATTATGATTAATATTACTCTCTCTTTTGCTAGTATCAAAACAGATGATTTCTTGCATATTTGCATGAATTAAATTCTTCATTAGCATTATGGCATTTTCTGCTTTCTGTGAGAGAAAAGCCAATCTATAATCTGTACTCTTTGCTTCCTGTTTTTTGCTTTTTAGATATCACTTTTTATTTTTTATCTTCTTTCTTTCTTTCTATCGCCAGAAATTAATCAATAAATTTAGGAAAAAATAAAAAAACTGTTAGAAATAATTATGTATCAGGTTTGACTTTGTTTTGATTCACATAACTGAATAGATATGTGCAAACAGCGAATTTGCAATGTTTCTAATGAAATTTGCTCCGATCTTCCCTTTTTCCAGTAGCCTCCAGCAAGCTCACAGACGAGGATAGATTTGTGATTGTATTATTCAGATAAGTTGTGTTTTTGTGTAAAAAGATTAGTGTAAGAATATTAATATTGTTTTTCAATAATACACACTTATTAGATTACTTATTAGATTCAACATTTGTCGCTGTCAGAAATACATATTTTTGACCAGATGTTCAGCTACTCAATTATATTGTAATTGTACACATAGCTGTTAGTAATTTGCAATATAATTATTAAAATTAAATTGTTTCTCAAATTAGGAGTCTATTCAGTCACTCTTAACGATTATATTGTTATAGCTTGTGTCATTGCGCAACTTTTTTTATTATATACAAAATCTACAACGGCAATGTAATGATATCGTTACAGTTGTTACAAATTACAGAATAAGCCCCTAACTTTACAGTTATCATTATTTATGTAGTTCGAAATTAATTATCAATATCACGAATAAGTTGACACACTGCATAAGAATTCGAATAATTTTTACAAGAAACATAACAAGAAATTTGATTGAAAATAAAACGATCATAGAGGGAAGAAATGGAGAAGACAAAATATAGGAAGCATACATGTAGATTAGATTGGAGAGAAAGGAAAGTGGAGTAGAGACGCTCACCTTCTGCTTCCCGTTTGCGGTTCTGCGTTACGGCGCTCGGTGTGTTCATGTTCGTCTGAGTGCCGTTCGCGATTGCAGCACTCACCGCAGCCGCGGCAGCCGCCGCGGCAACTGCCGCTGCCGAAGTTGCATTCTGTTGCTGTTGCTGCTGAGCGTTCTGCAGGTAGCTTGGATTTAGCAGCGACGTGAAATTACGCGATTGATTCATAGCAGCCTGGCGTAGTGACGCCGTGCCAGGCGTTGCGCTCGCGCTCGTAATCGCAACACCAACACCGTTGATCCGTTGACGGTAGTTGACGCCCAACAACGATAGGCAATAGGCGTAGCGACGGCAGGTTTAGACACAGAGAAAATGGCGAAACTACTCCAACTTACGAAGACACCGTTAACACACCTCCATGCTTCATCCCGACGTATCGCGACCGGATGTTAGCCGCGTATCGCCCTCCGGGAATGTTAAGCAACGGATGCGCTCGTTGGTGCACTCACCCTGACGTGCCAATCACGATGTCGGGCGCGAGGAATGACGCGACCGAACGGACCAATCACTTTGCGCCTGATATCGAGGAAACGATTGCTGACATAGCTGTGATCAAAGACTCGCTACAAATGCTTTGAAGAGTTTAATTTTAACCAATTAAAAGAAAGAATTTTACTACTGACTGATCAATTAAAAAACGCTTCAAAGAGTTTGCAACATCGCGTTGATCATATCCATTAGCTACGTTCAGCGGACTTAATAGTTGAATGAGCTCTTTGCTATTGATGTATTCTTTCAGATCTAAAATGCTGATTGGGTGATCTAAAAGAATACACCAATAACTCAACTGTTGAGTTCGCTGAATGCAGCCATATTGGGTGTATTCAGTACTATAATCGCTCATTAAGCGCTTGTATCTGATTAGCATATTCTATTAGATCTAAAAATATACAACAATTAGATATAAGAATTCACTGAGCGCTTAGTGAGCGTACTGGCTACATTGTAGTACTGACTACACCCATTGCTATATATTTTGAAATGAGGTGAAAATTTATCAGGTATTGATAAATAAAATTACAAATATTTGACTGAATTTGTTCTGAATATAAAAATTAATATAAAAATTAAGGCTAGTATTTATAGTTGATTTTTAGATTTGAGATTATCTTAAGTACAGCCTTAAGATGTCATAAACCAATCAGAGGGTTGTATATATTAGCATCTTAAAATAATGGTCACGTTCAGCAGATTCAGAATCGATTGTTCTTAGAGATGTTAAAAAACGGTATGAAGAAAAATATCAAATAAAAAACTAGTTTTTTACTGTAAAAAATATTTTTGACCAAATTACATAAAATTCATGAAAAACCTTAGCATTTATGTTAAATATGTAGAAGAAGAAATAGAGTTCATTTTTCTTATTATTTCGATACTTTTTAATATTTTTGTTTTTATAATTTTATATTGAGGCGAAAATATGTATTATTGGCTATTGCAATTCTTGATGAAATGATAATAAGTTTGTATGCGTTGCTTGCACTCTTTGCATTCAGCATCTGTGCCTTCTCTAATTTCAACACTCGAATATATTTTTCTAATAATATCACTTTAAGTGCAAAAATTTTGAGAGATTTCAAGTAATGCGAACAGATTTAAATGATCTAAAAAAAATATTCGAGTAAAAACCGTCAAAGTAAAAGGAAAAAAAATCATTAATTTCGAGTTTTTTACTCTAAAATTCTAGTATTTTTCCATCATTTACATCTCTAATTGTTCCACCTTTTGATAAATTTAATCTTGTTAAGAGAGATTACCCAATCACATGCGCGGATTACTAGATTTACTTCATTGATAAAATTTATCAATCGGCCCTCAATTGTTGGAAAGTAGATTCGTAAGCGCTCGTTATTATTAAATGATCTTCATATATATATATGTCCTCATAATATTATTATGATTATTAAAAATAACAATATTTAATGTTACTGCAATATTGTATGAACATTGAAAGGTATCATAATAATATTTATTTTAATTTGTAAAACTGTTAAAGCTTTCTATAAAAGCCATTTAAGAAGAAATTGACCAATCACAATCGAATGTGAGAAGAATAATCGAATATGATTGGCTGCGTTCAGCAGAAGAAGCAACTTTGCGACTGTTATAAAATTCTCGAATATAATTGGTTTATTTAGATTTAATGAGAAACTAAGGGCAAGACCAATCACATTAAAGAATTTTACAACAGTTGCAAATCTACTTTTTCTGCTGAACGCCGCCATTGATCAATTTCTTACGACTTAAGACTTTATGGTAATGAACTTATTGAAAGCCTATTACTCCAGTTCGGTATAAGAGTACGTTTAAAGATTGAAAATTATTTTAGCCATAACCATCCATTAATATTTTAGGAATATTATTTTGATTTTATATAATTTTAATGAAATATTATTAAAACGTTACATTTAATAATATTAATAATAACGTTACATTTAATATTCTAAGAATACGCCTGAAATATTACTATTAATATATTAATATTAATATTGTGCGTTTAAGGAAGATGCATAGAAAAGATACATATTTCTTTAAAATTTTTTATCATTTTGAATCTGACAATTAATGAGCAAAATATTCTTGAGGAGCTTTCCAACAAGCTATTAAACAACTTGTTGGGAAGTATTCATTTCATCTTTATTTAACATTAGCGAACAACAAGGACATAATAATTTATTATTATATCATCTATGCATGTTTCTTGTTGGAAAGCTTCTTTAATTAACTTATCAAGTAATACCTGAAATCGTAATATTTTTTTACTTTGATAATAGAAATAAATTGTTAATTTTTTTATTATCAAACATTTAATTGAATAAAGAACTTTGGTCGGAGTCATTTTAAATAGAATATTTCGAAAAAATTCTTCCAATATGTTCTCATATAGAATTGAATATTTCTACGTCACTTCAATAAACTTTGATTAAACGCTATTTCAGCATTCGACCAATTGTAACCAAGAGTTTCAAAACAGCAACCTGCGTCTTTGCGAATATCTTCGTCTACGATTGGCCGATTTACTAACCTGGCCGAATCACGTATTTCTGAGCATCGTCAACAAGACACGACGAATGAGCTGACTTGAATGGTGCGATCATTCTTTGGAACCTCGTGATGTAACGCTACGTGCGTACATACATACATACCGAAGCATATTGACGCCGGCGGCACGAATCACACGATACGGAACGGGAGTAGGCAATGAAATAGATAGCAACCAGCGGTGATCGCTACGAGCGTGGTGCGTTTACGGTTGTCATGAACAGAGTTTCACGCTCGTAAATGTCATTTGAGGAAATCGCGGCGGTCGTTTCTTCTCGGTCATGTACCGCTACTGTGAGGTCTGTCGCTTGTCTCGCACGCTGTGTCGTCGACGAATAATGCAATGAGTACGACGATAATGCCATGCGACATTCGACGGTAAAATCGGCGATACGAGCAACAGCCACGACGATGATGATGATGTCGATAATGCCGCGAGTGCGGAGTAACGGTTGTGTGCAACGTGGAACTGCTGTCGCAGCTTGAATCGTGCAACATACGCTGTTCACATCGCTTTCACGTCTGAACTTCTACGTGTTTTCCTTCTCCCTTCAGCGTGATCGGGACGTCGACGTCGAGACACCGGACAAAGCGGTCCCAGGCGCAATGGCAGCTCACAAAACGGGCGGGCAGACCGCCCGTAAGAAAGTTCAGGTATAATTCACTGATAGATACCAACAGATTCGCGAGGAACTTGTCGATTCCCTTGACTGATGCCTCACGAAACTTATGCCTTATTTTAGTCATATGATAATACATTGTACAATAAGATAATTGTTTTCTGTCCTAAGAATCACGCTTATAAATGCTAAAAAAAGTTTATTTCTTTGGTACTAATTAAAGTTTAATTGCATTGAGTTTTCCTCTCTCTTGGGAGAGAGAAAACTAAATTCATATAATAATATTATGTACCAGATTTGAGGTATATTACAACATTTGATTTCATTGGATGCTTTCCATTTAGAGACAAGTCGACACAAGTATTATTTCATTTGTGTCACTGAATATCAAGAAAGATAGAAAGATGCTAAATGGAAAGCATCCATGAAAATTAATAATGATGACTTTCATTGAGTTTTCACAAGTTGTCAATGTTATGAGAAGGATTATATTAATTTTAAATCATTTTTCATGTAAAGGTGTCTATGGTTATAAGAGACGAAGTAGAGAAGCAGCATAGGGCTGGTGTTAATTCCTTACAGTATGATCCAGCTCTGCACAGGCTATATTCTGCTGGTAGAGACAGTATCATAAGGATATGGAATTGTAGAAATATGAAGGAACCATATATCCAATCTATGGAACATCATACTGATTGGGTTAATGATATAGTGTTATGTTGTAGTGGCAAAAATCGTAAGTGCACACTCATAGAATATTTTTATTTGACTTAATTTTTATGATATTTTAAGAGAAAATTGTATCATCTGTATTAAATATAACACAATATCTTTCTTTGATTTCCAATTTCTGTATCGATCTTGATATGATAATTATCTTATCAATTCTGTGTAGTTATATCTGCAAGTTCTGACACTACTGTCAAGGTATGGAATGCACATAAAGGTTTTTGTATGTCCACCTTGCGCACGCACAAGGATTATGTTAAAGCATTAGCATATGCCAAAGATAGAGAGCAAGTTGCTAGCGCGGGTCTAGACAAGTCAATATTTCTATGGGATGTTAATACATTAACTGCTCTTACTGCGAGTAATAATACAGTCACAAGTATGTAATTCATGCATTTTGATTATATATATATATATGTATTTTATATGTAATTAAATATCCTTAAAACACATGTATATCTTGTCAGCTTCATCCCTGAGTGGAAACAGAGACTCTATATACAGTCTTGCCATGAATCAGATTGGCACAGTTATCGTGAGTGGTAGCACGGAGAAAGTTCTTCGAGTGTGGGATCCACGATTTTGTACCAAACTTATGAAACTTCGTGGTCACACGGATAATATTAAAGCATTAGTCTTAAACAGGGACGGTACACAGTGTTTATCAGCGAGTTCTGATGGTACTATTAAATTGTGGTCGCTTGGCCAACAGAGATGTGTGCAAACATTTAGAGTTCATAAAGAAGGAGTCTGGGCGTTATTGGTAACTACATGCACAATTACATATACAAATTCATTATGTTAATAATTACTATACAGATTATTACGTTAAATCTGATGTCTTTTAGGCAACGGATAATTTTAGTCATGTAATATCTGGAGGCAGGGATAAGAGGGTAGTAATGACAGAATTAAGCTTTGCAGAAAGATATACAGTCATTTGCGAAGAAAAGGCACCTATACTCAAAATGGCTATGACACCGGATCAATCTAGTATTTGGGTAGCCACCAGCGAATCAACTATAAATAATTGGGTAAAAGTTTCATAACTTAACGAATTTGCATGAAAAAAAGACAAATTATAAAGAATATTTTTTGTTATTTCAGCCAATAAGCCAAAAAGATTGGCAAGAATTAGGAATAGGAGATTATTGTGATTCCGCGAGTAATGTAGCGGGCAATATTTTAAGGAATACTGAACCTACACAGAAAATATTGGGTGGTCCTGCCATAAGACATTATCACATATTAAATGATAAAAGACATGTTTTGACAAAGGATACAGAAGAGAATATTGCACTATATGATGTATTAAAGGCATGTAAAATAGAAGATTTAGGCAGAGTTGATTTCGAGCAGGAATGTAAAAAGAGAAACAAAATGGTATATGTTCCAAACTGGTTTAACGTCGATCTCAAAACAGGGGTATGTCTCAAAACAGGAGATTTTGTTTGATAAATCAATGTTTCCAAAAGCTAAATCAGTTCTAAACTTTTTTTATCATTGCAGATGTTAACTATACATTTAGGACAAGACGAAAATGATTGCTTTTCTGCATGGGTTTCCGCCAAAGAAACTGGTTTAGCAGAGAATGATGCTGTAGATCAGAAAGGTGATTAGCTGTTTCATTAGTAATATTTATGACATGATTCGGGAAATTTAACATTCCTTCTATTTTTAGTAAATTATGGAAACCTTTTGCTGCAAGCATTACTCGAACACTGGTGGAGACCATTACACGCTGATGACGAGAATGAGGGTAATGGTAATGATGGAAATGGTCCTTTACAACACACGAGAGGAGGAAATCCATACTTCTCAGTTCCTAGTCATACACCTGTCATCTTTAGGTATGTAAAGAGTATTGTACGGGAAGCAATGTTTCATTAACAAAATAATAATGTTATGCTGCTTTTCAGTGAAGTGGGAGGTAGAACTATCTACCGATTATTGGTTCGAGATGCTGCAGGAGAAACTGAGGGTGTCCTATTAAACGAAACCGTACCACCATGGGTAGTGAATATCGTTGTGGACAAGAATCTTCCTCAGTTTATTAAAATACCTTTTTATCTTCTTCCACACGCTTCTTCAGGTGTAAAAAGTTTGAAGAAGTATGCATTTTAATTTAACTCTCCAAATCACACAATGACAAATAAATAATTTTTTATATTATCTTTAAGGGATCGTTTAATAGCCAATGATTTTATACAAGTACGTAAAGTGGCCGAACATGTTTACGATAAAGTACTCGGTGCAGGAAGCGATTCAGGTTCAGTGGCTGGCGGTGGAAATACAGTTTCCAGCGGATCTCCGGCAGGCGATAGGACGAATACGGACTCTAATGCTGATAATTCTTCATTGGCTGAAGAAAAAGTCGAACTCCTATGTAACGATCAAGTCTTGGATCCTTCAATGGATTTGAGAACAGTATGTATTATCCTGAGTAAAAACTAAACTTTTATAATCATTGAGAGAATATTTTTTTCATGTGTTTCTCTGTTTCTCAGGTTAGACATTTCATTTGGAAAAGTTCGGCGGATTTAACACTTCATTATCGTCCTGTTAAATAGTTAGGATTAACATTACATCATGAATCTTTACAGTGTGCCTGGTTTTATACCATGGTAAAGTATGCTATACATATATTTTAACTTTTTTTTTCATTAATTTAAAAAAAAATTCAAGATTAAACTCATTTCAGAATAGTGGAAAATACATAGGCTACTTGCAGAATATGGTACCTTGTGCCACATTCTTAGGAAATGATCACCTGGATTTGACGAACGTTTCGTGTGATGTTGAGGCAGGAGTGAAAGAAAGCGAGGCGTATTTGGAGTATTAGGACATAATGTAAAATTTTAAGGCAATAATGTGTGGAAGTATTAATGTAAATTGCTCACTTTTATACACTTGCATCCTGCGGCCAAATTCACACAATAGAGCATTACTCTCGATTAATCTGCTTGAGAATATCATGCTTTTTGTACCTGGATGTAGAGTTTAAAGTCTTGTTGTCAGCCATATATCGTCTTCCCACTTTAAAGATATCATTAAAAACGTATGACACAACTATAAAAAAAAAAAAAACAGCACAACTACAGAAAAAGGGGATAGACTGCATGGCCGAGAAAATTGTTGTTTCGTTAAGTCTAATGGATCCAGGTGATCCTCATAAATGCTTCTCAAAACAATTTCCTCTATTAATTCTATTTTAGCTGTGTATTTCAAATCAGTACATAGAATCGTCTTCTTTTAGTATTATAATAAAAGTATTGAATATTTATTGAGGGTACAAGAAATTATACGTTTTGTTATATGCATGCATGCAAAATGTGTATTCCACACCTGCCTTGTTATATTAGAGAGCGAAAAGAAGAAATATATACATATATATATATATA